GAAAATCAAAACACTATCAAGAGGTTTGAAAGAGCTTTGATATTAACTTGGGGAGTGGTGCGAGTTAACTGAGATGTTGTAAGATCATATTCAAGAGTTTTGTTTACAATCTGAGTTTTGTGAGTATTAGTTGTTCGACAAGTTGTAGAACTTGAAGAACATTAGAATATATAAAACTGGGGTTTTGTGTCTTTGGGTAGCTAGAAATTAGAGTTTATAATTTCTTAGAATTAAAGTTTATAATTCTTCTAGGAAATAGAGTTAATAATTCCTTAGGTTACAAAGCTTTGTAATCGTTATATTGTTTGAAGTTTATAAATAATACAAAATGTTGTTCCAATTGATTATCTTTAAGTTTCAAACAAACAGAAACATGTTGTCTGTACATGTTCCTTTGAAGAATTCAGGAAAGTAGAATTCTAACAATTAATAAATGTTTTTGTCTTGAGTTATACTGAAGTGTATCCTTTCTAGTCCCTCATTATTGGATAAGTTCAAAAATAATAAAGATAGCAAACTCAAGAGATTATAGATATTATGTATAGTCTATAGATGTTAATGTTATTATAAGATTTTAATGAAGGGTTTATAATTTTTAAAAATATGGAGAAATATATCTTTTTTAAGTAGGATAAATGTTTAAAAGAAGAAGAAAAAAGATAATATATATGTATATATACTAATAAAATTAATCGTGTTTCACGCGGGAATTTAATAGCACGGAATTTACAAAATAATACTTAAAAAATTATCATTCATTAAATCTAAAGCACTATATTATATTACATACAAGACTATGTAGAATTTAATATCAGATAATTTATAAAATGACACTTAAAATATATCAGTCATTAAAACTAAAACACAATATTATCTTACATACAAGGCTACGTAATAACGAACATTAACAATGTAAAGGAAAATGATAATTATAAGAACTTATCGTCTATCGTTCATCAATTTTAATTTGATTTTAAATTTATCTTTTTGCCTCCAGAAAGTGTTACTATTTGATACTTTTGGGAAATTAGATGAACAACAACATGAGATATTAAATTTTTCAATAAATAAATAATCTTTATATGTACTAACAAATACATATAACAAAAACTTTACAAAAATTTGAACAACAAAGTTTAAAACATGTACTCAAAAACAACAATTAAATCATAAGTATAAATTAATGAATGTAAAAAGTTATACCAGGATCTATAACAATAGAATGAGACCAATTCTATTCACAAGTGTATTGCTAGAAAATTAATGGTGTCACTGAGACACTAAACATGAGCAAAAATTGTGCGGAAGAAGAAAAAGTTTAGAATTTTCGTTGTTTTAAAATGAGAGGAAATCCCTCTATTTATAGACAAGAAATAGTAGTGTAAAAAAATATTTGTTGTGCCTTATCAAAAAAGTCACAACTCACTTGAAAAGTTACAACCCTTCTAAAAGACCACGACCTTTCATAAAAGTCACAATTTTTCATAAAAATCACAATTTTTCGTAAAAGTTACAGTTGTCCACAAAACTCACATCTTTTCATGAAAGGGAAGGTTATTTTTGAAAATAAATAAATTTAAAAGGAAATTCTATGTTGCGGTGATGACACATAGGCAGACCTAGAATTTTCTTTTATATAAATATATGATTCTAACACCTTAGAAATTAAACAATCGAATTGATAAAGGATATTTGAGATTTTGGCTCTAATGCAAGTTCTACGAATCCTTTCTATGGACCGTAGAAGGTTCTACAAGTCATAGGAAGGGAGTCGTAGAATTGGAGGTGAGTTTTTGAATTTTCAAGTTTCTAAAGTTTGGCCTATAAATGGACAAGACGAGTCGGAATTTTGAATGAGTAATAGATGGGTGTCATATAAAGTTGGCCAATTTTAGGCCCAAGTAACTCGACATACGTTTGACCAGTACGGTCCATAGGGTCCTTTGGTAGCCATTTCTTAAGGTATTAGGCATTCTCCTAAGCATTTAATGTCTCTACTATGTCATTTTTACCCTAATTCTATGTTCTATAATTGTCCTTTTACTCCTAAAATTACCCTAACTCTCTCATTCACTCAAATCCTCAAATCTTATCTACATTCATCTTCTTCAATTCTCTCTCAACTTCAAGAAAAAGATTAGGGTTTCAAACTTCAAATCTCCTATTCCTCCATTGCTTTTGAGCTTTGATCCTCAAGTTATGCAGGGTTCGAGTTCCAGTCACCATTGATCCCCCAAGGTTTTCTCAATTCCTCCTGTTCAATTTCATCAAATTAATTTGTAAGTTTTCATTCAATTCTTCAAAGGTTCAAATTGTGTTGATTTAACTGTTTGATTTTGATCTTATAATGATTGTTTGGTCTCAATTACATGCTTTCCAATTGCTTTCGCATGAATTAATGGATTATTCATGATTTTTATTGTGAACCTTTAAAGACATGAATTCATGAATTCATGAATCTATGAATGATGTTTTCATGAAAGTTATGCATGATTTATGAAAATGAATGTTTTATGGTCTAATCATTCTAGCTTGAGTCTCATTCGGGGACAAATGTTACCAAGAGTGAGAAATTGTAACACCTTCGAAATTGAAAAGTTGAGTTGAAAAAGGGAAAGTTCAGATTTTGGCTATAAGGCATGTTCTATGAGTCCTTTCTACAGAAATAGGAGGTTCTATGTGTCGTAGGTCGTAGACTTAAAGGTGAGTTTTTGGAATTTCATGTTTTCGAAGTTTGACCTACGAATGGATAGGACGAGCAGTAGAAATTTGAACGAGGCATCTATGAGTTCCGCAGGGGTGTTCTTGACTTAGTGAAATTTTTGGGTAAAAGTTGAGGTGTACGAATAGGGTCTATAGATCGTAGTAATTTAGATGGTCTGTAAAAGGGTGTCATAGGAAGTTGGCAAATTTTAGGCCCTGGTAACTCTACCTACGGTCGACGAATACAAACCGTAAGAATTTCTACGGTCTGTAGGTCCAAACTGTAGGGTCCTCCAACAGCTATTTCTAAAGGGTATTTGAATCTTTTTATGTCATTTTGACCCTAAATCTATGTCTTATAACTATCCTTTTACTCCTAAATTACCCTAACTAATCTCTCATTCACTTAAATCCTCAAATCTCATCCACAAGTCTAGGTTCGAAGACTGGGTTTCAAGATTCAAGTCTACTATTCCTCTGTTGCTTTTGGGGTTCGATCCTCAAGGTATGTAGGATTTAACCAATGAGTTTCATTCGCCTATTGAGATCCGATGGTTTCTCAATTCTCCAAGTTCAACTTCATTAAATTTTAGGTTTTCATTTCATTCTTCATGAATTCACATTGTATTGATTCAGTTATTTGATTTTAATCTTATTATGATTGTTAGGTCTGAATTAGAGAAAAATATAAAATGACACTTGAAGTTATCTCAAATTTTCAAGAAGACACTTTAACTATACAAGTGTCTTATTTCCTCACAAAAGTATAAAATATTATTGTAAATAGATCATTTTGACCAATTTTCTCCCTATGTTTGTAAACACGCTCATCACAACACGTGAATGTATCATTTTACTTCCAAAAACCAATTAAAAAGCGCCACATTTCAGTTATTTTCTTTATTAATTAATTAATTAATTTTTAAATTCACCATGTTCCTCAAATTTTGAAGAGAGCCTTTGGTTGAAGGATTAAAAAAAATCAGCAGTCTCTCTCTTTTATGAAATCGACTCAAAAAGATAAGAAATCAATTTAATTTTCAGTTAAAAGATTAATTAGAAGTCATTCAATAACAAAGCTGGAGAAGTAGTAATGGGAGAAGAAGTAGTTGGGTAGCTATGGTGACAATGAAAAGTTGTTCACACGGAGGGAGAAAGGGAATGAACCGCCATTGTTATATATTGCAGGACCAATAGCTAGAGATTTCTGAATCAATTTAATCGATCTAAGGAGTAAAATTTGAAGTGGGTTAGTGAATTTGAGTTAGAATTTTGTGGGTTTTTCTATTTTTAGTATTATCAAGATTTTTTTTTAACGATGGATTCGGACCAGGTTAACCCGTTTTTAAATTAAATTAATTAATTAAAAGGGGTGAGAAGTTGTTCATAGAATGTTCAAAATGCTCTGTTTATAATTACATTTAATACTTTCGTGGGATAATATGACACTCGTATAGTTAGAATGTCCTTTTGAGTATCCGAGACAACTTTAGGTGTCATTTTATGAATTTTTTACATGCTTTTCAATTACTTTCACAAGAACCCATGCATTATTCATGATTTTGATTATGAACTCTTAATAACATGAATTTATGAAGGAACTATGAATATATGAATGATGTTTTCATAAATTATACATGATTTATGAAAATGAATGTTTTATGATCATCAATGAAATCCTAAAAGGATTCTCTCACATGTTATAAGGAATCGTGATTTGGTGAAAGGTTATATTTGATGAAAGGTTATCTCATGTAGAGACCGAGTTTTTAGTAGCAATCACCTAACTACGTGTCCTTATAGACTTTTCTTCGAAAGACATAACTAGTGGATCCACCTAAGCTAGAAGTTAAGGTCCTTGCCTTGTAAAGTAAGAGCATCTCTTATCAGTGTGAAAACAAGACACGTTATAATTCACTTGATTAATGTCAATTAATAGTAAATATCCCACAAAATGAACTGAGTTGTTCTTAAAGGATTATGTAACACTTTTAATAAGATTTTAAGATGCGTTAGACCATATTCATAACTCGTGATTCTCCTTTAAAGTTTTAATATGATTTAACTTAGTCATGCATATCATGTTTTCATTTGTACTCTTATGATCATATTTCATGCATATCCCTCATACTTGGAATTTCTTTTCCGGTGCATCGAGGAGAGAACAATAATTATACAGAGAGAGAAAGGGACTAAAGTTAGCATCAAGTGTAGCTGTTGGGGTTTAGGATATAAAGCAGCACATAAAATGAGTAGGAAGTATCAACAATGCCCTCACACATGGGATGTCACAAATGAACTCTTTCAATAAGCCTCGTCCAATAGTCGTATATAAAAGGGGAGAGAACTCATGGCATTGTTTTTAGGCAAACTTTCTTTCCTCCACTCATGTGGGTGCTGCTCTTAGTTCATCTGTGAAGAGACTCAAACCTAGAATACTGGAATGCAAGGATCTAAAATACTAACTCTCACAAACATCCATGCCAACGTCTAAAGTCAATGACTAGTAGGCGCTTGCACTCAAGAAACTCCTTCAAGGACATTTTTCAGTTTCTCATTAGCCGCAACAAGTTCTGCTGCTATTCCTGGTTCATTTGCCGAATGACCTGCTCCTGGGACAACCTATAATCACACAGCAGAAACCGTCAGTTGCCAATAATATGACCATGTAAGCAAGGTGTAAAGTCTTCTTTCTTTTATGAAAGCCTTGTTCCTTTAAAAAATACTGTGGTAAAGAAACCCTCATTTCTTCAGCTATTATTTTTTTCAAGGTAATCTATAGTGCTTAAAGTATCATCCAAATCCCTAGAGGTTAGGCCATTCAAACCAGGCCTTCCTAAAGAATAAATCCGATAACCCATAAGATAGAACTCATTCCTTAACTACCTGCATTGAGTTGGATGAGTTTTCATGCCCCACATCCAAATTTAAATCAACCTACAGGATTTTCACATGAAATTAATGTGTATTTGTTCTGATTCCCATCCCAACTCTTCATAGAAATATCAAATCACATGGGAAAATCTACCAGTTTTATACCCCAAGGTCCTTTTGTTGTTTCATATCTCCACTGCCAGTTTAACATAACTCTTGTACAAAGCCCCTTTGATTTTTACTGTCTTGTACCCTGTTGGTTTAAGAAAAATAAATAAATAAATAACCTCCTCCTCAAGTTTATTTTTGGCAGAACTTTTGGGGGTATTATTCATTTTTCACCCGTTGGTCCAACAAGCACTAGTCCAAATACAACATATACCTGATCAGGTACATTTATGCATACAATATGTATATTTTATGTATATTTGTACCAAATATACAAAACATATATATTTGCTATTTTTACAGCGACCCAGAAAGATAATACCCTATCTTTTTGTGCCTCCTTGACTGCATCAACGGTGGAAGTCTTTGTCTCAAAACTTCTCCCCTCCAATTACTTTGAATTAATAAATCTACCTAACTGAGGAAATCATTTTTCACTTACAATAAACTCTGCCTCCGGCCAAGCTTTATGAAGATCCCACGCTGACATCATTGGACAGCAAACATCATATCTTCCCTGAAGGTGTTACAAAAATTTTCTTGTAATCAGATTATCCAAGAATAAAATTTACCTCAAGCGCATGCATAAAATATAAGATTCACATTTAGTGCAGGATCATAAGGAGAAACATATAAGGAGTATACGTCTTAAATTTAAAAAATATAATGACAAGAAAACAAATGAGCATACTCGTATCTGACTACTTGAAAATACATGTTTAGTTAGTAGCTTCAACACTTGAGGACCGTACAGTTGTGGACTGCACTTAGTGGATGTTCTAGGTAAAAACTCACATGGCAAACACATCAAGAAGCACTATGGAAATTTAATGCACTTCATTTCTTGCAAAATATGATTAAGCTTAAACCAGCTCTTTACTTGTATGATCATTTAAACTGTATTAGTAGGTTATAGAGAAAATGTGGCAATGAAAAATAAATTTTAGAAGAAATAAATACTCTATTAAATATTTAAATCACATCACTAAACTTCGGAAATCTGACATGAAATAAGACCTTCTACTTATATTTGATCCAGCAATCTCATTTCAATCATACTCTTCTCCTTCATGTCCCTATTCATATTTGTCTTTATACCACAGAGCTACTCACCGTGCTGATCCTCAATACAACTACAGAAACTCTTATTCCTTCCTCCTTCCTTCCGGCCAACCCAGGGACCCATCATATTATGATGGTAATGACGTTAATGAACAATAGCAGATTTCAGTAACCAAATCATCATATGATTAGACGGATGACTGATAACAAAATTTATGGTGGTGCTTTATGATTCCAAACGGTCATGCTTGAGGAGATAAGGTTAGTGGCAGTGGATAGCAGTCATAATGGCACTTTAGATGTATCCAACAATTACAGAGGCTAAATACAAGGTATTTGATTTATGACTCATGAGCATGCATTTCACTTAAATGTTGTGCTTGTGCATATTTAATCATGTTGTATATGCCTGTCATTAAAAAAAATCATGTCGTACATGCCATAGTTTATTTGCTACATTTGACAATAAATTCTATTTTATTGTGTCGGTTGTGAATGTGAGTATTTTTAGTCTAATAATACTATCAAGTACACATTCTTATTGTCTCGTGTTGCACTTGCTGCACTTTTAGTGCTATGTTGACCCTTGCACCAGTGGAGCTCGGGTATGGGCTTAGGAGCTTAGATTTCTGAGAGTGGTAGTTTGATTGCTTTCACAGAGGCCTGGTCTTCCTTAGTTGAGCAGATCTGTGAGCACTAGTTCGATGATGAGAAGTTGCATCTCATTCGAGTCAAAGTGATGAGAGCGGAAGCCAAGGAGGATGTCCTTGATTCTGATGGTATCTTGAGGATCGGAGGCAGGATTTGTGTGTAACACCCCGAAAATCTCTAAGCTAAGATCCAAATAATTCTTCAGAAGTGTATCTGGAGACTTCAGGATGAACTTCTTGGCTTAGTTTCAACCACTGAGGAGCCCCTATTTTGTTATTTCTATTCTATGATTTCACACTTATACTGTCATGCTATCAACCTGTTGTTACACCCAGACTTCGGATATGCCTTAAATTATATACATGACGTGAGGAAGTCAAAAGATAAGAATTTACATATTCCAAGAATGGGAACTTGTCTCAAAAAAAAAAAGTTGTACTGAGATTAGGTCAGAAAAATAAAAGAATTTGATACAATATAGGGAAAATGCACAAGTACCCCCCTAGACTATGACCGGAATCCCAGAGATAAACCTTAACTAAACTAAGGTCCTATTACCCCTCAACTTATTTTTTTGGTAATTTTGTGCACCTTTTTTGGCTTACGTGGCATCCAAATATCTTCCACGCGCCTCAATTGAGTGGAGTCACGGAGTGTGCCACGTAAGACAAAAGGTGCACAAAATTACAAAAAAAAAAAAGTTCAGAGGGGTAATAAGACCTTAGTTTAGTTAAGGTGTGTCTCTGAATTTCGGTAATAGTCTAGGAAATGTTAGTGTATATCTTAATTTCATAATATATTTATAATTGATAAGTGCTTTAATCAGAGATATTATGTAGAGAACTTAATAAGAATTAGATATTTAGAAGTTTATCCATTTAGAGAATTTAATGAGAATCAATTATAACATATATATGTATATACACACATGCCTGTCAAGAACTTTTGTAGTTGACCTCATCACTTAAATCTTATATTAAACTAATTAGCAAGTTTATTTGTTGACTTATGGACCAATCCCTTTTATTATATAAAAACGAATACAAGAATTCTTAATAGTTAAGGAAAGTTAACCAACATTGAGATTTCGATGGATTCAATGATACCAAAATTCAACTCTATGTTAATATATTAGACCCCATTAGACATTTTAGGAAAATACGAACCTTCCCAAGATTGTTGCAAGTGATAAATTTCCCCACAACCTCAAAACCAACGGCCACCCTTTTCACACAAGATATTACTTCATCAAGTTCATCTCAAGTCTCCAAGAACGGACTACTATCTTGACCTGGGTAGTCGAATATCAAAATCATTGTGTCAAGTTGTTGAACTTGGAGTCGGGATTAGCATTCTTGGCTCATTTTGGAACCATGGGACTACCATTAGCTCTGAAGAACTTGAGGTAAGGAAAACCTTTCTAATTTGACATTCACTAATCTAGAATTCTCAGAATCTCTTCGATTTCTTATCTACAAAATTGATGCGTCTGAAATATTTGAGCTCTACGGAACTATATTTAATGATGCAAATACGAATCCTCAAGACAACAAGGCTCCATGCTAGGCACTCTTGGTGAACCCCATTTGGTTTACAGGGCATTTTCCTTTCTTATTTCATGTATTACGTACTTTCATACCCTATGTTGGAGCCTTATCCCGACACTTCTACTTCTTATGCATAGTTTAGAGGCCTCATAGACGTAGTCACTCGTTTCATGTACATATGTTTTGGGCCTTACCTTTATGTTGCCTGACACCATACTCGTGATTTTCTGTACTTTGAGAGTTAATATTTTATTTGATAAGAAACGTACTTAAATTCATTGTTAGAAATGTTTTCATATTGTTCCATGCATTGTCATTGTTCATAAACTCCACAAATTGGTCTGCTAAGTCAAGCTAAGGCACTGAGTACAGGTCTGGCCAACCAAGCATTTGGACAGCTGGAGCTCGCTTGCGAGTTCTATCGGGTAAAGCCAATGATTAGAGGCCTCGGGGGTGCAACGCCCTCGACCTATTCTCAAACTTTAAATAGGTAGGACGGCGCGGCTGCTTTGTTGAGCCGCGCCACGGAATCAAGAGCTCCAAGTGGGCCATTTTTGGTAAGCAGAACTGGCGATCCGGGCGGAAGACATTTTCATCTTATTTCATGTCTTCAGTATTACGAGTTGGACATTCTATGCTTTTGGGTTTGTTAGAATAGGATTGTATATAGTGCCCTACATGGACTGTCTATAAATATGTATCAATGTAATAATGTAACTTGTGTGTTTTAATAATATTTCCCGAGTCTTTGTTTCTCACATGGTAGCAGAGCATCAGCGAGAAACATTTAGGGCAGAAAGGTCAGTCAGCGTGCCCTTTTGGGGGGTGACTGTCCAGATCTAATTTGTGCCATCTTCTCCATCAGTATTGTACGAAAACCGGCACTGCCACAAATTCATCACCGTCCAGAACCAAACCCTACCAGATACACATGCTTCCAGAAATTAGGGTTCTGACGAGCGCGTAAATCCACTCGCAGGAGCATGAACAATGGTCTAATGTGTTTTCAAGCTGGATTCTTCTTCTACAATAGTCTCTAGTGATTCCGAACCCATCCATACAATTTTCTATAATTTCCAATCACTGTCTTTCCAAAAGACTTCAACCACTGGTTTTTTGATTCTTGGTACTCGCTTGGTGATTCCAATCTAACCCCAAGAATTTTCAGAAGTTTCAACCAGATTTATAGATCTCATATTTTTTTAAAAAAAAAAAATCTGTTCTATTTGTACCAAATTAGAGCACCATATCTTCTACCCCTTCCCCTTACGAACACTATTATTATTCTATGATCATCTTATGCTTCAAGTTTATTACTATTTTTGTTTTTTTTTACATTAGTAATCTTTACTATTTTTGTTTCTTTTCTTTACAATACTTCATCATAGCTTTTTACTCGTGTTTTCAAATATGTTTTGAGAAATGCTTTTCTTGAACCGAGAGTCTATCACAAATAAGTCTTCATCCTACCCCACAAAGATAAGGGCAAGGTCTATGTGCTTACTTGTATAACTGTTTTATACTTGTTATAGCTTTACTATGTCACTATGCACTACAGTTTTCAAAGTTTGTCTCAAGGGTAAGACAGGGATTTCACTGGGTTTGTTTGTTGTTTATTTACTACTCTGTCTAGATACTGTTAAGGGCGACATAGTTGTTGATTGCTAATCCAGTTCTACAGTCGAGGTGACCCATCCACCAGTCTGTGGAGTTGTCAGCTCCTATCATACTTACAATCTTTATTTGATTTCATTTTGAATTGTGTCTCATATAGTGGTATCTCAGATTCTTAGTTGCTCCATGACTTCGAGATTTTTTGGGGTTTACATTTTCACTCGACTTTTCACTCATTTTCAGATATTTATCATGAGAACACTTTTATACTTGATATTTAGTATTGTTTCCACGTATTGTAGCAGTTCATAGTACAGTCGGGTATATCTAGCATTGGTGGTAGCTCGTTGGATACTGATCACGATTTAAGTGTCAGATTTGGGACATGTCAGAACAATGCTGGCAAACATTCACCCTTACCATTACGTTCTTTATGCAAGTCTTCCATTATGTTCTTTATGTAAGTCTTCAATCACATTTTACACAAATAAACTTATCAAAGAAAAATGCATCCATCATTGGGAAGAAAAGTAAGTCTTTCAGATGTTTTATGTCTCCAGACAACACCTTCAAGTATTGGGGGAATCTTGAACTTTGAGACGGCAATGCAAAGCTAAAGCAGAAACAAAAGCAGAATTTACCTGAACAATTATTGTTTTGATGTGCTTTATCTTTTCAACATTATCTAGAAGGAAAGAATCTGAAGAGAAGAATCCCTTGTTGATAAAGTAGTGGTTCTCAATCCTTGCAAATGCCTGAACAAAGCAAGATATGTTGAGGTTATATAATGAATGATAACAACCTCTATGACGATAAATAATTGTTCACATTGAATTTCCAAATAGTGTAATTTCAAGTTCTCAGTAGACAAAAGAGATAAGGAAAGAGTAAAACTGCAGCTCTTACATAGAATTTTAAGAATATAGATGCAAAAGAACAATGCTTTAATGGGAGGGTCACCCGGATACTACGTGCAATTCATAGATGTACTTACCAAGGAGAAATCATCATCATCTCCTTTCTTTATGTTCTCTTCATTAGGGAGAAGATGAGAGGTCATCATTTCCCATTTAGTCCATGCTCTAGCTGCTGCATACTAAAACATTCAAGAACTTGAGACAAGCAAACAAGTTGTTTAATGTATTCAACAATATTATATCAATATGTAAAGTTGATTTGATGTTGTGGAGGCTTTAAGGATCAGAAACTGTCACTGATAGAGTTTGCAAACACAAACCGATGTCATATCTTCTTTGCTTCCTATCATATTAAAATCCTTTGTGCTTCCAACTTTGCTGTCATATCTTTTCATGAGTCATGATGACATCTTAAAACTCTGAAGCCACCAACTTGTGACTTCTTCATTCGAAAAAGGAGCATGGTGTATTTTGGGCGTAGTTATGAGTAATTCCAACATTCTGTCCTAAGAACAGTACTTGTCTGATGCTAACAAAAGAACAAAAAGAGCTTCTACCATTGTTGAGAATTCAAGTAAAATCAAGTTATATAGAAAGCACAACACCTGCCTATTTTGATTGAAAGTTTCAGGAGTTGTGTAAGGGAAACATCAAGGTTATCAAAGGGAAGGAGCAAGTAATTGTTTTTTTCTTTCTTTAACATTTTCTGCCCCCATAAAGAAGGAAATTTTGACATATTCAAAAATGACAGGAACAATAAATGAAACTAGGACATTCAATGAAACAGTAACTTCTTACCTGTGTTTCTAGGGTATCTGAATTTAATCTCTTATGGTACGCCTTGACAAAACAATTCCTTTCTTCCTCCGGAATCAGTTCTCTGAATGGCTCCCAAACTGTAACAGATGACAGAAAAGGTGCTTTTGACTTTGAAAACTACATCAGCAGTACCATTAACCAACCAAACAAGTGAAAACAGCAGCTCAATGATGATCAGATCAAAACACACACATCATTTTCCCAAATTAAGGTAAGCAATTAACCACTTAATAAAATGTGCTTAAACAGTTTGAATAAGCCATCTGCTCAGGTGAAAAGGTTGGTTAAAAGAAGCGCCTCAGATAATCAGAACATTGCCAGAAATTACAAAATTAGGCATATATTCTGGAGAACGCATTTCATTTGTAGACTAGAAATAGTGAACTGGCTAAAACAATGGCTTCCGATTGAGTATTGCGAAGATCCAAAAGTAGATATAAAAGTTGTTCGTCATCTTCATATGGAAAAATCAAATAGGAATGCCCGTGCTAAATTCCTTACTTTTGTATCCAGCAGCAGATGAAATAGTTCAAACTTCTCAGATTCTATAACAACTCAATACAACTATGCACTAGATTCAGTTGGTTGGTCTTCCAGCATCCATGAAATTCAGAAGCTTACCATCGGGGTATATTGCAGCAGCTCCACCCTCATAAAACCAGTCAATTTCTTTCTTCCGCAACAAAAATATCCCTCTAAGAATGATCCCAGTAACCTTTAACAGAAAAGTCATTTAAAATCTTTAGCAATAACGTAGATTTAACATGATGTTGGGAATAGAATTTATCATTTCCTCTAACAAGTTTGAACTACAAATCTTGGAACTTAAAGAATAGTTGCTAGTAGACCTTGTCAGGATGTGATATGCTGTATGCAAGAGCCAGAGTGCTTCCCCATGAGCCACCAAATACCTGCAAACTCACAACTATAAGAATTTGGTGAAGTACCATCGACCTAACAGTCACAGAAGGAGAGCAATTTGCACCTGCCATTCCGGAATCTTTAAGTGCTCTCTTAATTTTTCAATATCCCCAACGAGATCCCATGTTGTGTTCTCCTCTAAGCAAGCATGAGGCTTACTTTTACCCGCACCTCTCTGGAAGATACCAATGTTTTCATTTGAACAAGTACATCAACATACCTAGTGTAGTCATGGGAGCATGAGGAGGGTAGAGTGTACGCAGACCTTACCCCCACCTCAGAGGTAGAGAGGCTGTTACCTATAGACACTCAGCTCACATTTGAAAAAGCACAAAGTGCATGAATTAGCACTTAAGTTAATAATATCAACCTGATCAAATAGAATGATTTGATAGAAGACAGGATCAAAGAACCTCCTGTTATTGGGTGAAGTCCCACCTCCAGGGCCTCCATGGAAAAACACTACTGGCTGCAAATATGGAACAAATCTTCAAAACGACTTTACATCAAACATCTTTACTAAAAATAGCAAATTTCACCCTATTTTGCATCATGTGAAGGCATCAGAGAGTAGAAAACAAGAAAAACATATAACCTACATTGGAATAGGCAAATGTAGTCATCATATGCTAGTCTCCTGAGCCTCTTATCTTCTCCTAGTAAGGAGGAGGACTGGGGCTCCTCTGAGAAAATGGACCACGTGTATGAGTAGAAATCTGATACCAGTGTTATTAAAAGTTATTACTCTTTGCTTGAAATGGTCAATTGATGTGAAGCGAGGGGTTATTGTTTCATGGGCAAATTCATGTGCTTCAGAGAAGTGTGCGCTTCACATAATGATGTGTGAAGTGATCCCAATGAGAAGCGGTCAATCTTTTGAATCTCAACTTCAAGGAGTTTAATAATATCGGCATTATTGTACATTGGAGGCAAAAATTAGAAACTTCCATTGAAGAGAAGCAAATGAAAGGCTTCATAAGAATTCTCGTCGAATCGAGAATGAAGTTCTTTGATTTTGATAGTTTCTGCGATTACATGGACTGTATTTACTTACACTAATACATCAATGACTACTGCTACAAAAAAACTACATTGATATATGTTTGGTACTTCTTTATTTTCTATAAGCCGTGCTCTTCGGCTCAAAGAAGTGTGCACTGCACTACTCGCTTTTCACATCAAGTTCTTTTAATCTTGATATTTCTCAGTGTTTTTTGACTTTAAAATCATTATCTGATGCTGCATTTGCAAATTTACAATTAGACTTTATTAATTTACTCTGACTTGTATAAACATCCCACTTCCCCTTTAGGAACTTAGTTTGTGGACGAATGATAAGTTCACAAATGTTGGCTTCCAGATATTTTTTTGTGTGGGGAGCAAACAAAGACAATCAACCACCTTTTCTTGCATTGCAAAATTGACAGAGCAACTATGGAGAATGTTCATGAAGGGGATCAAGTGGGTAAGATCTGGGACCATTAAAGGAGTTCTAAGCAGCTGGAACAGGGATGGCAATGCAACAGAGATGGTGGAGAGATGAATGATCTCCCTGCATGTATATGATGGACAGTTAGGACAGGAAGGAACAAGAGGTGAGTTGAGGATCCAAAGAACAACTTAAAAAATATCAAAATGAATTGTTTAGCACTTTTTTACTTTTGGTGTAAACATGATGTACTAGCTCAAACAGAAGAAATCATTGATGTACTTGACTATTTATAGGCAATAGAAAGATTGTGTTAGTGCCATCTTAATACAAGAAAAATTAGAAGAAAAACTCACACGGCCATTAGGATTTCCTGACTGCTCCCAATATATAGTATGAAGGTCCGAAACTTTCAAAAATCCAGTACTATATGGCTCTATAGAGGGGTATAGATCCTTTCTAAATTCAGGAAATTCCTTCTTCAAATCCATTTGTTCCACGCTCTCACAATCAAGATTCCCCGCACGTACGGATAACTTCTTCCTCCCTGTAAAGTTAATACTATTCATGAAACAACTGATCCATTTAAGTTGATACTCAATTAAGCAAAATCCAAAGACAAACAAATAGAATGAAACATATCATATGCTTATTTTATCATTCTCCAGTTGTTTCACATTTTAAACGGGAGATAAAGAAAATGAAAAAGGCTTTCTTTGAAATCCATTTGATCAAATTCCAGAGTGGTCACACATGGAACAAGAAGTATGATAAATCATACTTCGTTATTTTCACATTTCAGTCACTCAATTGTCATCTTCAGACAACAAGAACAAGCCCAAAATTTACATTGATATCCTATTTCTGCAAAAACCCTGGCATAAACATTTTGATTTTGGAAGGCCAATCAAGCAGATAACTATGAAGGTAAAACCCATCTATTCATTAGTCAATTCTTAGTAGTCATCGGCTTTACTATCAGAATTATATTTATCGGCACATAGATTTTGAAAAGTTGATCAAGCAGAAAAACAGAACTTTTACCCACATTACATGTTACCATTTTCCTTCAGTTTCACATATGTTTCCATCTAAGCGTCAGAAACACCAACAAAAAAAAAAAAGACCCTACTTTGGTGTCTGAAGCAGAGAAATAGAGACACATAGATACAGAGAGAGACAGTAAATAAGAAAGAGAGAAACCTGAGATGGGGATGAGCAAAGGCGAGAAGATGGAAGCAGGAAGCTTTGGGGATAGTGAAAGGGAATTCGAGGCCGGCAAATGAGTAAAATTGGAGCAAGGGAATAACGAGGGAGCCCGTATAGCAGTAGATGCCAACTTCATGGGTAATCTCATCAATTTCAAATGGGTTTTCCTACAACCCAGGGGAACATCAATTATGATTTCTTTAAAACACAAAATGACAAAAAATGGTATCTCATGTTAAAGCTAACTAAAACATTCAAATATACAATTTTATACAAAGTCACTAGTTACGTTAGTCGTAATTTTTTGGAAAAATTTTTATACATAGTTATTCAAAAATAAAAAAATTAATTTTATTTTATTTTTTAAATTATGATTTTCTTAATTACAAAAATGAATGATGTGACTAAATTACAAAATCATTGTTCAAAAATAAAGGCACGAATGAGCTTTGAATAGTAATGATATAGATGAGTCAAATTTTTAATGAATGGCATAAATAAGTCTTTTCTGAAAGTTCGATGGCATATTTGAACATTTTACCTTTTTTAATTAGTAATTTTATAATTAGTTAGTACACATATTTAATTTATGTATAATAAAACTTATGTATACTTAATTATTTTTGTTTCTTTCTTTGTAGAATATTTATTTTAGTTTCTTTTCACTTTAAACTTTTTTCACTTAGTTTATTATCTTTTCACTTTTAATTATTATTAATAAATTGTGTGTATTTAAATTGTCCTTTACTTTTATGTTTTAATATGTTTATGTTTTATTTGATTTTTTTCATTTGTTTTGATATCCGTTAAAAATAACTAATTTTAAATACAAGACATTTGAAACCAAATCAAAACGAAAGACAAAAAAAATCAATAGAAAAATAAAAGAGAAAAAAAAATAATGTAAGTAAAAAAAATAATTTTTATACAAGGTAAAAAAAGCGTATTAACTTAATTTAAATACAAGATTAAAAAAATTAAAATATTTTTAAAAAAAATTGCGATTTTTTTTTAAAAGTTAAGAAATATTTTTTAATTTTTTTAAAAAAAAATTAATTAAAAAAATCATAAATATATACATTTTATACACATTGTGAGCGAGTGTGTACAAACACAACCAACTTGGGCTGTTGAAGGTGTCACATCAGCATAAAAGGTACATAAATTTACGAATAAAATGGGTTCAGGGGATAATAGGATCTTTATTAAGTTTAGGTGTGTTACTGGAATTTTTGTTCACATCTTCTCTTTGTTTCCGTGCCTCTAGTGAGTTAGAGACGGAGTTCGAAAAGGTCAAATATTTCATAGGCTAGGGGTACGTATGCATCATCTCAAATACTATAGCTATAATGACTAATTAAATAGTATAAATTTATTTTTTTTTAATTTTTTTTAGAAATTAATTATAATTTTTATAATATTTGAAGTTATCATTTTTTTTTTCATATTTTACCCCTAATATTTTTCAAATCTAAGATTATATATCAATGAATATAAAAATGATAATAATATACTTATGCTAATCATTAATTTAGCAGTGCTTTTCTAGTAATAAATATAACAATATATTTTAATAAAAATTATATGTTCCACTATAAAAAAAGAATTAAATTGTGAAGAATGTGTCGAAGTACTTATTTGTTCCAATTAAACGAAGCATGCAAAGCATTGTTAATGCCATATGGCAACAATAGATGAGCATTTGACAAATTTTAAGTCTTGATATGACACATAAATATAAACATCACAACTCAATCTAAGGTGGAAGGATAAAACAGAAATATGAAAATATAGTTATAAAAAATGGTCTCTTCTTATCCCATCAAAATTTTTCATAAGTCAATTGACTCAAATGCCCTTATCAACCTAAACAATCATGTTGACGGGATAGTGTATACATAGGCTTATAACCCTTTCTTATACGGTAATAATAATTGGAAAAATAACTTAAATACACAACTATAATTTTTATATTCTCCAATTTTCTCTACTTTTTTTAATATTACATAATTCC